AAGCTCCAGCTAGTAATTAGATTCTCCTGCAGAAGTGGAAGCTTTGACTTGCAAATGCCACAAGTGGTATGTGATGCTTGGGGCACGTTCTCCTGTAACCTGCTGCTGATTTCAAAGGTGACTATAGCAGCTCAGGCTGCTGCAAAGAAGCAGGATAGATTGAATAAACTAATTTTCATTAGTAGCACTCAGCAAGAGAAACAAGGGCTTAGAGAGAAGGGAGCAGGAGACAAGTGAAATGGAATTCAAGACTTTTATTTTATTAGCGGCGTAAGGCTCTGCTCTTTTCCAATAAATGAGGTAATTAGAAGTTGGGTATATACAGCAGGAGAATAGGGAGCAGTGAAAGAGCTGAGATTTCATTTCAGTGTTGAGTTTGTATAATCTAAATACAATTTATTCTAACTAATTTAAATACTTGATTGCACTTAGCTTGGTAAAATGGTTAGGACTTCGCTGTATTGGATGTCATCTGACTGGGACAGTCTGACATTTTTTGTCAGCCTCAAAAAAGTTCTGTGATGACTTCTTAGCTGGAAAAAAGTACAAGAAACTAGTTTGTGTCATTACATGAGTCTTTCACTGTGGTTCAGTATTTGCAGTTATGAGGAGCTTTGGTGATCTCTGCTGTGGCCGTGTTTTGCTGCCATTGCTGGCTTGAGGAAACTTCTGGGTGATGCCAACTAAGTTTTGCAGCCCCTGGTTTCAGGAGAGAAGGTGTCTTCACATCTCTGCGCTTGCGCATCCCTAGCTAGTGTAATGGCCCTGTGGGGGATGACCAGCCAACACGGAGGCAGCACCTGTGGTTTTATTCTGTCCTGATCCAAAAACCAAGATCAGGCTCACCCGAGGGGACCTGGAGCAATTTCTGCTTCTCATCGCTTTGCCTGTTAGCTGGTGTCTGTGGGACAAGATCCAGCATGATACACATGGCAGTTCTTCCATGGAAAAAAGCAACATGTACCCCCATTAACCATTGAGTTGCTTAGGAGCCAGGCAGTAATTCATCCTTATACAGAGGTAGTCTGGGGATATGTCAAATTCTACTCTTCCACAACCACTTTTCTGGGGAAGAGGCATATGTCATACTTCCTAATTCCCTGCTTATTCCAAGAATAGATCTATATTTTATATTACTGCACGCTTAGTCTGAACTGTTCTTTTGCTTACATAGTAATGAAATCAGTTTACATAATAATTCTCTTGTTCTCTTGACAGTCCTTGTTGCCTAGACATGCTGGTTTTTGTTACCTTACATGAACCATTAATTGCAATCTGATGTTCTTGGCAGGAGTACAGTCGCAAATGACAGTGTCATACATCTGGGCTTACTGTGGGGGAGTGTCTCAATTCTAGAATGTGAGCAGAACCTCCAAATAAATCAGTCTTAGAAAACGGTTTCGGATATAGTCTGTTGTTGCAATATACAGGAAAATAAACATTTCTTCAAAAAGTAATTTTCCCAAAATATCACTGGGAGTCTCTTTCTAGATGCCTAGGTGTTAATATTTTCTAGATTATTCTCTACACTTTTTTTGAGGTAAATTACCAGCTTGTGCTTTACAGTTGTGCAGTACTGAGTGTGACAGGGTCCTGCTCCATGGCCAGGCCTCCAGGATATAACGCTAATAGAAGCAGATATCCACACAGCTGCTGCGCCAGCGTTCACATTTTCACTCTTCATTTCATCTGACTACAAAACAACATCACGGTTATTGTTGAAAACAAGGCATTAGTTGTTTAGCTGCAAAATGAAGGGAAGTTTTCTCCTCACAAAGGAGAAAATCCATTAATAGCAGAAGAGTTGTACCAGTGGATGACAGTGTGAGGCTTTGCTCCCAACAGGGTTTGACTTGATGGAAAGTGGCGATGTCCTTGTTTCAGACCTGTCACCTTCTGTTTGGGGAGTGGTGGTGTTTCGGTCATTTAAAAAAAAATCACAGCTTGTCCTAGTTTTCATAAACAACCAAAGCAGACTGAGAGCTAACTGTCAGCCCCTGGGCCTGATGTCTGTGGTGGCTGCTGAGACGGTCACGAGTGCCCAGAGATCAGATGTCACTTGGGATGCTGAAGCCGTAGTCTGATGTACGTTTTAATCCAGTTATGTTCTCAAAAGGAGGAATTTCATCATCTCCCCAAGTTGGTCACCTTCCCTGCTCTGCTCATTCCCTGTGCCAGCTCACGCTGTCCTTCAGCCTTGCAACAAGCTGGACTGGGGCTGTCATCTTCTTGGGGTATGCCCAGCCACGTACACACCATAGCCAGAACCTGTCTGTCTCCTCTTCCATTTCACACATCTCTTGGTGAACCCTTTACTAGCCTCTGTGAAAAGAAAGCCCATCCACTGGTGTCCTACTTGCTGTCATTGAAAAGCTGAGCAGTCTTACCCTTTCTCTAAAGACCTGTGAGAGATGCTTTCATGGAAGAGATGTGGCCACTGCCATTTACACTGTGACTTCAGTGCCTGAAAAAGCCAAAGACCTGGAGATGAAACCAAGAGCTGACACAGCCTAGAGTTGAGGGAATATCAGAAGGAGTTTGTGAATTCCTTCTAGTGAAGTTAAAATTATACTTCTGGGTAAGCGGGAGTATTCAGGTACCTCGGGGACCTCCCTGCGTTGCTGATGGCCTGGGGAGCCTGCACTGCTGAAGGAGGTTTCCAAACAGGAATCCTCAGGTCTTACTCCTGGGTTGTATATGTGCTGTTAGCTTCTTGTAAGAAGTTCTAAAAGCCAAATCAGACTGCAAGCAGTCCAGACAAAATGTCTACGCATTGCTTTAATGGTTGTACAGAGGCATCTGAAGTAGGCATCGAGGCTTGATTGTCACACCTGGTGTGAAACCACATTTGTTTTAAAAAAAGGCAAAAAAATGCGGACGCTGTGCCAGGGCTGCCTTCAGAGGATGTTTGCCATTGTTTTCCTCACTACGCATTCATCTTTCTAGCATCTGTCTTGGATTGACTGCCTCAGAAAAGGCATTTACAAGTAGAATTGAAGAGAAGTGTATTTAAAAGCCAAATATGGGTTGTTTGTTGTAAAGCAGCCGATAGATAGTTGGCAAGACACCAAAAGGTCCAGACACTAATCTAATTGTTCACAGCTCATGGAGAGATTAATCCACAAGATTGGATGCCCTCATTTCCTTTACACATTACAATGAATGTGTAAGATGCCAAACCCCTTGGGACAGCAGGAGAAAGAGAAAATGGCTCCATTTCAGTGCAGTTATTGTTTCAAGTTTAGAAACATATTGATTCTCTTTGGTTTTTGATAAGAATATAAATGCAAAGTGCCTTGCTTAATATCAGAGTATTCCTGTTTCCTAGCCTCGGCAAAATAAAATCATGCTTTCATATTTTAGTGTAATGTAATGCTCTGCAAAATTCAGATCAAACATAAAATGTGTCAAATACAGAATAAAAATGTTCGGGATACACTCACTGGCTTGCGAGGGCACCAAGAATTGCAAATGCTCTGCATCTCTGAAAAAAGGGGCAAACCTACCTGCAGATGTCCAGGCTGGTGAGCTCTGAAAATCAAGGCTGCTGTGAGATGCTGTGCATTGGAACAGAATAAGCTTTGCAAAGGAAAAAAAAAGCAACCCCAGGATTGCTTGGGTGACCAGTGAGAATAAAACAAACACTGCTGAGTGGCTGTTGCAAGCAGGATTGCTATGCAATAGGCTTTCTCTGAACTGAAAGTGGAGCTCAAGAGCAAACAGTATGGTGGGGCTATATCCACTTTGAAGGGGGAGTGATTCAGTAAGACTAAAACGTGGCTAATCTGCAGAGTCTGCTCCTGCCTCCCTCTGCCCCCCTGCATTGGGGTGGCAGAAATACAGGAGCGTGGACATGCTGGGCAGTGTGCTTTGTCCTGGAGAAGGGGGATGTTTCATCCTCATGGTACCAGTCACGCTGCTAGTGGTGCTGAAAGGAGTCGCCCCTTCTGCTGGCAAGGAAAATTACCGTGACTTTGGCCAGAAGAAAGGTTTGGGAAAGCTACCTGGAGACCAGATAAATAACGCCTTGGTCTTGCAGACTTGTTCATCTCTGACTTACTGGCTAAAGCGGAAAAGTTTTTGTGAGCAAAGTATGTGTGCAGGTTTGCAAGCTAGTGGGCCTGTGAGCTGTTTGCTGGTCATCACAATATTTTGTTGGTGAAATTTTGCTCCAGTTGCAAAGAATTTTCAAAAAGCTAATGGGATTGAGATATATTTATTCCGATGTTGCAATACTTGGCACATTTAGGGGAAGAAAATTAATATCCCGAACTAGTCTTTGCAGTGTTTCTAATTCCTTGACTAAGCACGTCCTCATATATCATTTTACTTTACCAGCTTTTGGGAAGAAGAGAATGTTTTGCTAGTCAGGACTTGTTTTGACTTAGTTTTTAATAATATCAGTCAGCACCATGTTGCCTGAAAGTCTGAATCTGACAAAAGTTTAGTTTTAAATGGGCTGCTTTTATGAGGTCATGTGTAGACTCATTGCTCCTCAATCAAGATCATAAATGTGTAATTTTAATAACATTCAGTGAGAATAAGCATTTGCATATCCTTGGAAAAATTGTTCTCTGCTGCATAGTTCATGTATTTCAGCCATGGCATCGAGGGGGCATTTCAAGATTTGCACATCGCTTAAAATATTGTACTTTGCAAGGGAGGATATAGAAAGAAACAGCGCAAGTAATTATTTTTTTCTCTGTAGTGCAGTACTTTCTCCCAAGGTGTAGAGAGTGATGATACCAAGCATATCCACAGCTGGGATTTCTGTGGTGCAAAAAACAGTCAGGGTGTTGAGTTGAAAGCTGGTCATGGCCGCACGTGAAAGCTAAATGAGGGACAGGAGAGGTAACTGTACAGCACGGTTTCCATCCTCTACTTCCCCATTATTTTTTGTATTTTGGGTGTCTTACGGAGCAGTCCATGTAGGAGGGTCTTGATAAGAGGTGAGCCATGGATTGCTTTTCTGTCTGTCAGAACTGGTGTTTCTTCCGCAGGGGGTAGAGCGCATTGACCTGCCGGGGCTCAGGAGCCTGCGCACTGCCCGCAGCCTGGAGCAGGGCATGGTGCTGACCATCGAGCCGGGCATCTACTTCATAGACCACCTCTTGGACCAAGCCCTCCGTGATCCTGCACAGTCCTGTTTCATCAACAATGATGTCCTGCAGCGTTTTAGAGGATTTGGTGGGGTGAGTAATTCTTAACAGGATGTTTTTCTGAAATTGGTTTTCTGTTTGTTTGCCCTTACTCCATGTTCTTCAGAAGAAATCTTTTGGAAGTTGTAATGTATTGCACATAGGACTGTTCGTGAAGCAGTACCTTGGGCCATTTGACCCTACAGACAAATTGGGGGGGGGGGGGATTTTTAAATGTGGTTTTACACTTGTAATATCTGATTAACGATAGACCCATATTTTCCCATTGATTGAAATACCTTCTGTCAGCACTGTACAGTGACTTGCCAGGTAGGTTTTGTCTAATGTGTGAAACATGTATGTTATAAAATATGAGACTTAGATCTGTAGTCCAGAGTTGGCTTCCTTGACAGCAGCATGGGCTGCTGCTCCCTCTCAGGGCAGAAGAGCCTGATGCTTTTTAAATCAGGGAGGAAGTAGAGAAAAACAGCAATAATTGCCTTTACTGGATTATTGCCAGAACGGTGTGAAACTTCTGAATGTAAAGCCTTCCCTGTTTTCCAAAGGAATGGCCAATGGTCTTCACGAGCACCCGTGCTCGAGGTATCGCGTTGCATGCTCAGACAGCAGTGTGAGCACTGGAGGGTTGGCTAGCTCAGGGTAGCCACGGTCTGGGTGATCATTCCCATGCAGGCAGTTCCTATGCAAGTAGAGGGGCCTTGTTTCTCCATACTTTCCAGGGTGCGTTTCCCATTCAAAGGCACCGCCCTTGCAAAGCATCGAGCAGTTGCAGTGGCTTCAAGTGGGCTTTTATTTTAGCGGGGAGAGCATTTCAAGGGTGCCGCATTGTTCTCCGAGCTTCCGTATTCATGTACAGAGAAGATAGAGCAGGCAGCTGCAATGCCCCATCATCCTCGTGGCTTTTCTGCTAAGTCTCAACGCAGCTAACAATCACTGGCAACGGCAGTGATTTTCTGGTATGAAAAGTCACTCATTAGGAATTGTCTGCTGCTGCCATCAACTAATTTATCACTGTACGCCAGCCATGAGAGGGTAATGACTGTAACGCTTTTGGTCTGCGCTGGCTTTGACCCACCAGCCCCGACACGAAAGCTGTGTGTGCCATCACCAGCTGTGCGAGCCAGCCAGGCTCCTGAGCAGCCGCCCATGGGGGTTCTCCATACAGTGTGTGTGCAGCCTTATCGGGAGATGTGGGACTTTACCCTCGTGGCATTTCATTCACTGCTGAGGTTTGGGACGTTATCTGTTGTTTCTTTATCAAGACTTGCCTGCCAGCCAGCCAACTGAGATACTGGTAACAAAAGGCAGCTAACTCTGCATTTTCTAACTGTGAGCACATTATATATGGCGCCGCATGCTGAAGCATATTTTTTAAAAAATGCTGTAACACACTTCTGTAGCTTGACACTGCAAGGAAAACAGGTTTAACTATCTTCACCTTTCCTTGTAAACGCTCTGTGGGAGCTTTTCAGTAGTTGAATTGATTCCTGGTGAGCTTTCTCTTGGAGATGCTCAGCAAAACCCACGTTTTTCCATGACTTGCTGTGAATGCCCATTCCAGCTCTGCAGCTCGAGGCATGCACGTGGCTCACCTGCTGCCTGTGTTTGCGTGGAGCAGGGGTGACAGCACAGGATCTCTACTTTGGTAATAAGTTGCTGGATCAGGCACTTTTGTTCCAGAGATTTCAAGCACAGTCTAACTTTCTCCTGTTTTTTGCTCAGCTTCCTGTAATGATGACTTGTAAGGACAGCTAGCCAACAAACTTTGCTAAAAGGGGGAGCTGCCCAAAAGCGATTGAGCAAAAATCTAAATCTCCGATCCCCTTGTGAACAATACATTTTACTTAGAGAGAAAAAAAATAATACACACATACCCTGAGCCAGATGTTGTCACTTGATTTTGTCCAGGAGAAGAATGGAAATAAAATCTCAGACTGAAGTACATCCGAGTATTTCTGAATTCTACACAAAAGCTGAATTATAAGGCAATCAAAATGAATTTTTCCATCTTTACAATTCTGACTTGATTCTGCATAAATAGAAGATGCAATTTGTGCTGTGTAGTGTGCTTAGTTATCTGCATGCTGGTTCATTCTAGTTCATCCAGAATGAGTTGAGTATTTCTCTCAAAAGCATGTCAGAAAACTTTCTCTCTATGTAATTAAAAAAGATCTTGTGAAGCTCAGTGTTTTTACTGACAAATATTAATAGTACGGTGGTTAGTACTGGTCAGTTCTAGCTAAAGAACTCACTACAGCCAGTTCAATCTTCCTTTAAGTTTAAAAGAAAAATACATTCTGCAAAAGGAAATAAGTAGCCCATTTCCCTCTGCAGAGCTCAGCACTAATTAAAGTGTTCTTAATTTGGTTTAGTTTAATTCACTTCAAAAATGAACTTACATTAACCAAAGTAGCACCACTGTAATTCTGAGTAAGACTGTCCACACAGATTTGTGGATTTTAATGAACTCGCCTTGAATTCATGTCTTTTTTGAGCTTTGGATAATTTTCTTGACTGTGACAAGTCTCTGCATTGAGAAGAGAAGCTCTTTTGCTGTGCCAAGAAGAGCAAGACTGTAGCCATTTATTGTAATTCTTGCTGCCTGGTATTAGCCGTAAAGAGATGGTAAAAGCTGCAAGAGCAATAAAGAATGAGAGACAACAGGAGGTGTTCCTTTGCCCGCACTGCATTGCTTGCGGTGTGCGTGCTGGGGCACCCCTGGAGCTCCTGCGTGCCCTCGGAACAGGTCGGCCGGCAGCCCAGCCGTCCTGCGTCCCTCTAACACAGACACCCCGGCTCCATGGCTGTAACTGCTGCTCAGGGACCTCGTAATGTGGGCTTTTACCAAACAAGAGCTGTTCTGGGTCAAATACAGATCCCTCTGGAGGGAGACAAGAAGTTTTGCGAGGGGATCTGCTTCTGAGAGCAGGGGCTGCCCTGTCTGAAGCCCTGAACTCTTTACTTGACAGCCGTTGAGTTCAGTCTGTCACAAGCTTCCTCGGCCAACTTTGGGAAGTCACTCAGTCACACGTACTTCAGTTCTCCATCTGCAAAACTAAAGTCCAGTTTACCGAGGTCGTAAGTTCTGTGGGGCAAAGGCTGCCGTCGGGCACTGGTGCAGTGTCCCTCCCAGGGCACCTCTGCTCTGCCTGCGCTCTGCCTGCACCCCTCTCATAAATAAACATACATGTGCAAATAGAGGTACGTGTATACCTTTGTATATATTGCTCAGGAAAAGCAGCCGAGGGGAAATACCGACTCCAAATGCTGCCCTTTAGGGTTTGACATTTCCGTTCTTCATAAGCTGATTACTGATTCGTGCAGTTCATACGATGTAAAACTGTTCAATCTTTTTTTGGCCTTAAATATTCAGTCTCTGTTCAGGCTTTATTTTTCCCTAGGATTTATAGAACTAGCACCAGACTTAATATGTGAAAACTATGCAACTTAGAGAAAAACAGCTAAATGTTAAATACATTACTTTCTCTCATTTTCAGATTTTTCTCATTTAAAAGTTAAATAGATTTACAAAGCTCAGGACCTTGAAGATCCACTAATATTAGTGTTTTTCAAAACAATAGTACTTAGGAAGAAATTTTAAACCAGATAAAAAGTAGCATATTTAATTGCCTCTACCTTTGGTTCACAGAGCCATGCAGTTGTCTCTGTCTTCATTTTTCTTTTTCAGAAGGTTGAGCTCTGTTTCTGGTTTTATGGGGTATGTGTGTTGTGGAATGAAATAATTTACTAGGCAATAAGCATTATGCTCATCTGCTTGTTAGCATTGAATATTATGCAGCAGTAATAATGCTACATAGCATTTTCTTGAAGTTTTCGTAGAAAAGCGGTTGTCATAATGAAATATATACCTTCTTTAAAGTTTTTGTAAGAGAAGTGATAGTTGTAGGCAACCCAAAAACAGTGACTAGTTGCTTATAAACCTTCTTTAACCCTTTTCTCTTAAGTTGTCTAATTAACATAATTAGGTTAAAGTAGGAACAGTTGTTTCTAACCTGTATTTAGCTATAGTTTATTGCTTCTTTTTGAGTCTGGATGAAGGGACTGAGTGCCTGAAGCTTCTTTTTCCAGCTGTATCAGTTGATCTAATAAAATACATGGCCTCACCCTACTAATCTTGATCCTCCATTATAAAATGTTTATATGTGGACCTTTAAAATAAGTCCTCATGTCAGGCACACTTTGCTTGTGAATAAGAGGGAAGACTGTCAGCATGGGATAAGAAAGAGTCACTGTGTAGCACAGAGCCTGTTAGCCCCTATAGAAAACGTCTCGGTGTTAATACTTTGTGTAAGGTGGTAACAGGAAAGTGCCTACCCCAACCCTGTAAGGTACCTGCCTGTCCCTGGGTTTGACGTAAGGGCAGCTCTTATTTCCTGACCAGTCCCCCTGAAATACAGAAGTCGAACTCTGCTCGTGGTAAGTTTGCTCTATTAAAAATTATTGCTGAGTTGAAATAAGTCCCCTTGGCTACATGCATTTGCCTCTGTAGCTATAAAAACAAGACACGTGGATCCTTCAGCCCGGCAGAAGCACGTGTGCTAATTTACTTTGGGGGCAGCATGTGTAGCCCACGTTCCTGTCATCATTTCCCAGATGAGTCTCCCGCTCTAGATCTTGCAGTGATTGTATTGCTGCTTTCCACAGCCATAATAAAGCAAATGCTCAATAGATTTTAAAAAAAAAAGAGACATATCATCACAGTGGTCTTTTTTAATCACATCTGGGATCTGTCATCGTGCAAATCTGGACTATTTAATTGCCCAAAATTGTTTCTTGATTCTCAAAAGCCTTTTATATATATCATCATCCAAAAGAAATGAATGAGTGCTACAACCCCCTTCCCTTGGAAGATAACACAGGAGGCTCTGGGGAGCATGACTGTATTAGTAAGTCAGGACAAAGTGCGAGGCTGTATATATAGCTGACAGCAGCCTTGGTATTTAACTCCTGTGCTGTCCTTGGCTGTGCCCGCACAGCCCTGCTTTGGGACAGAGCTGGGTCCATTGAGTCGA